TGTTCAAGCCCTTGTACACGTGACTTACCCTACTTGCATTCGTTGACCCAAAGTAACCGAAAGCCTTAATCGCCCACTAGACAAATCAAACACCCTCTTTCGAAAAGGTTACTTATCATACGTTATGCGAGATATTGAATTGTGGAGCAACAGAGTTACAATCTTCTGAACCCAACAATATCAATCATTTTGTTCTAACTAAATATATATATATATATCTCATACTGAATTTCTGGTATGAAGCGAGGGCGTGCTACGCCGAATTTCTAGTTGTGAAGCGAGTACATACTATGCCAAATATGAATAATTCAAAAAACTCAGCCAAAATGATTATTAATAAATTGAATGTATTCTAGAATATTTGATGTTGATCGATAATAAACAAAAGTGGGTATACCAGTAACGGTACCAGGAACGGAGTTTGTACAACGTACAATGTAGAGCATGGTTTACAGGCAAGTGAAGTGGTGTGTGCAAAAACATTCATCTGATAGGTCGTTTTTTCACATGAAATGATATTTTTAAACCAGTTTGATACAACTTTGATTTAGGCTAGAGATGTAGACCATTATTAAATATTGAATTTGATAGAATATACTGTGTATTTACTATTTGTTTTCTATAGAGGACAACTTGCATACCTTATTTATGCGTGGGGTGCATCTTCTTATTGCTGTATTGGTGTCTTGCATTTCGTTCTATGGGTGACTATTTTGGAAATAGGCTTATAATTCATTTGTTTTCATATTTATTCCTTATTTTACCGTTGGTATATATCGATATCGAGCACTTGTTTTCTAAAAAAAAAAAAGGTTTAAAGTGGATTTAATAAGTCGACAAATGCTAGTATTTGCTAAATTTGCTTGTTAGAGTAACGGTAAATACATTTTTCTAAGGAAAAAAAGAGGCTTGTCGTTTTAAAATCTATTTCTGTCAAATTCATGTTATATCTTGTTTTTTGCTTACTTTAGTTATTGCTTTGAACGACTTATTGTCTGTTAACCATTTGTACTTAAAATATCTTGTTTTTTTTGCTTATTTTGGTTATTGTTTTTGAACATGTAATACGTAGCCACTTACTGCATGTTATCAATTTTACTTAAAATAGCTTCTCTGTGCATATTATATATATCGATAAAAAGATAACCACCAAGACCCAGATTGTAACATGTTTTTTGCTTATTTTAGTTATTGCTTTTGAACATGTAACAGTCTGTTAACAATTTTATGATAATCGCGATGGTTTTTATTTGGTTAATCCTTTTATAAAATATAACTAAGCCGAATTTGTATTACTTATGCGTAAAAGTTTTTTATTCTTTTAACAAAACTATCTTGTGTCACAAATAATAAAGAGACCGTTGTTGGTCTTCAATAAAATACTCATTCCTCTTATTCCAACTTAACAACACCTTATACGGGGTTATTTTTGATATTAAACATTAGCAACTCATAATTGAGAGCCATATTAGGAGATCGAACGAAAGTTTGAGTTAACATTACGTTTTTGATGCGGTTGATTACTATTTATATTGGTAATACAGTTTATACATATAGATCACCCTATATTAGGAAAAGCGGCTTATATAAAATCTGCTATTTGTAAGTTATATCTTGTTCTTTCCTAATTCGCTTACTTGTTACCTGGTAATAAGAATTTTCTAAAAAAAATGAAAAGGGCTTAAAATTAAACTTCGCAAGTTTTCTTATTTGCGCATAACACTTACATTTTCTGTTTTTAAATAATTCTTACAATTATCGGTCTACCATTTTTATCAGTTAAATAGCGTAATTACCAAAAATAATCGTATTAATACTGTGTAGTTGCAAGTTATATACTGCTGATTAATGCTGATTAATTAGGCAATCGTTCTGGGTAAAACTATTTCTTAATATAGGGTCATATCAAATCGCGGATTCCTAAATCTACCTTCCGTTCCTGGTTTCGCATGACAGTGTCGCGCAGCTACCTTATTCAATATATAAAAAAATTATATATATTTTTACCAATCAGAATTCATTTTGCAAAAATTGCCAATCAAATTTTATTATTTAAACGAAAACAAGCACATCTAAAAATAGATTTATTATATTTTATATAATAATTCTATTTTTAGATATGCTGGTTTTCTTTTAACTACACTCATAATCTTAAAATTCGGTGCTTTTGAAAAAAAGTGGTTATCTCTTACTGTTCAGTACTGCAACATTTAAAATGTCAGTATATTTTGTACTTTTCGAAAAGTAAGAGAGCCTATAGATCATGTAAATGATTTCAATTTTGTGAAACGATGGATCACTTTTCATTTTTGCAAAAAAAAACGGGTAGAGACAGGAAAGCGGTAATTAAATGTCGGGGATGATACTGAAATCGGATATTGCTTAAATTTTATATCGGTGGATTTGCGCAATAAGAAATTCTTCCGGTTAAAATTATCAAGATGATCGACAAACTTTTGTAATTATAATAATTGATTGGTTCCTTTATTTGCAGATCTCTGTGTGGAGTCTTAATTTGAAACATAACCCTATTTTACCTTTTTACAGACTACGGGTTTTTTAAGCTTAATTTTTTTTGATCACATCTACTATAAAGATATGGTTTTGAAAGTCTAGAACTCTAAGTTTTAATCCAACTTTAAACAAATAAATTCAAATTTTAATTAAAGTTTTCACTCACGCTACTATAAACTGTTAGATTTAACAAATCAGATCCATTAATGATACATTTGCATGAACGTGTATCATATTTTAATAGGAAGAAATTACCATACATCCTGAAAATCAGAGCCGTGTTATGATTAATTCGAACCAAAATTTTAGCCTACACTCCGGGCAATACAGTAATTATTAATGAATTATAATTAGGGTTGGAAAATTATTGTAATTTTACGTAAACACGTGTAAACTCCTGGAATTAAAATTACAGTCAGACCTCTCTATAGTCACTTCCTCTATAGTCACATTTGCTATAATTGCATAAAATTTTAAAACCAACTTGTATAACGCTTATAAAATTCAACATCGTATAGGCACGAACTCTCTATAAGACCCAAATTCTTAAAACCAAGAATGTGATTATAGAGAGGTTTGACTGTACCTGTAATGTTCACAAAAGTTTCTATAACAATGGCATTAAAAATAAATAAAATCTACAATTCCTAACATAATGATAATATCTAATAGTGCTGGCTAAACTTTTGTAATGTCGATAAAATTATCATGTGACAATGCGCTATTATATGTAAGTTACAATGTAATTTACATGGAACATAACAAAGTAATTTATGTAATACATCCCTACTTATGATTCAAATCAGGGTTGCTCATTCAATATCACTTAGCTTTAACGATAAATCGTAAAATCACCGATCCATAAAACGTGTCACTACTGTTATCTACAACACGTCATATGTCCGTGCTATTCATTATTATTTTAAACTACAACAATTACTGTATATCATCAGTGTTGAAACTATAAAAACTATGGGTTTTGACATTATAGATAAAGTGAATCAAAATGGAACTTAATAATAGTAGAATCCAAAGAGATCAACCACCTCATAATATTGATAGATCAGAGGCAACAAGAAATAATTTGTTGAATGGGAGCACTTTTGAATCCTATTTCGAAGATGGTAGAAGATATACCGCAGAGAATAAAACATATTTTTTACCTAATGATGATAAAGAGTATAATAGATTAAATTTACAGCATTCCATAATGAAAACTATTTGGCAAGGAAATTTTTCCGCTCCAGTTAAGCATCTCCTTAACCAAGAAGGAACAAAGGTTCTTGATGTAGGGTAAGTGTAATTAATAATATTGTGTTTAACATCAAAATTTGGAACAACAAGATTGTTTACTCAATGTTATACGAAATTTTGTCTCAAAATTCAATAATTATTTTAACAATTACTCAGGACAGGTTCCGGTTCTTGGACGCTCGATATGGCAACCGATTATCCTAAAGCAAAATTTATTGGAGTTGATATTTCACCCCCTCCAAGCAATAATATACCTAAAAATATCGAATTTATTGAAGCAAACGTATTTGAACGTTTACCATTCGATGATAATACATTTGACTATGTATTTCAGCGACTGTTATATGTTGGAATTCCTGCAAAGAAATGGCCATCAGTGGTTAATGAGTTAGTCCGCGTATTGAAACCCGGAGGTTATTTAGAGGTTGGAATTATTTATATTAACTATATTAATAAAATCTGTTGATTATAAAAACTAATTAATTCTAATTTTTTAGTTGCAAGAACTTGATTTTCGATATACCGTCATGGGGCCTGTAACAACAAAGATTATTAATGGCAGTAAGGATCATATTATATTAATTCGTCGTCAAGGTGGCAATATAACATTCTAATTTACATACATATATATATATTAGTTGTAGATATGTCTCATGAACGTGGTTTAGACCCAGATTTATGTTATAAATTACAGGGTTATATGAAAGATCATAACCAACTTCATGATGTTCACTGCGAAGTAAAGAAAAAATTCGATGGAGATGAAAATTTTCAAAAAATGGTAATGTACAAGTATTTTAATATACCATTTTGATTAATAAATTAAAAACTTTGATAATTTATAATTTATTTATTTATTATTTATTTAGTGGATTAAGAATTATTCTGCTATTCTCATGGGAATAAAGCCAAAACTAATGACTATAATTAATTTATCTAGTGATGAATATGACGGTATGGTCAAAACTGTAGGAAAAGAATTAGTTGAATTCGAAGCTTATTATCCTCATGTACATGCTTATTCTCGCAAAAAACCAAGCAGTGCAACGTTTATTAGTTGGTTATCGTCAATATTTTCGTTTCAGGTGTGAGAAAATTTAAATAATCAAATATTTGATTAAATCTCATTGGTTAACTTTAATCACAAGATTAATGAAGTTTATACTGCTTTGTTATTGGCTTGTTTAATTTGCCAAGAGGGGTGAACGAAATAAAATTATATATTAATTTTCGGTATCATTGACAAAATTATCACTAGCTATTATTTCAATAAATTAATTTTTATATCACGTAAGGATATAAATTAATTTTATGTTAATAAAATGAATGTAAATAAATAATTTATCGCTTAATTAATGCAAAATTTGGTTTTGCAGAAGATAAATATTTCAGATTTTAAATATTCAAATCACTGTATACAAGTTACACACATTGTCATAAATTATTGATAGAAGTATAGTGAGGAATAGTTTATACAAGAACCTTTTCGATATAGTGAATTTACTAATAACCTCTCATATCCCGAAGGCTTCACTATAACGAGAATGACCTGACGCATGACGAAAGTCATGCTAAGGTTATTATCGCGAGGATCACTCTGGATTAACCCAAAACGGATGTGAAACAGGAATTGGGTTTAATTATGAAAGTTGAAATCGGCAGTGCTTTTTTCCTTCGCTGCCCGACTCTGTTCTGGCTCTTTCGTGCTGTGGTGCCTTTCTTCATAGCTATAATAATAATAATAATAATAATAATAATAATAATAATAATAATAATAATAA